TGACCAGACCAGTTGTGAAAGCACAAGAGACTGAGAGAGATAAGTTACATTACATTTATTGTACTTTCCTTGTTGCAAACTTAGGAAGCCACATTGCTTTTAAGTGTGTGTTCCAGGGAGAGATAGAGAGTTGCCTTTTTCTTTTTTTGCATTTTGTTTCTTTTTTTGAAGAGGGGGTGGTGTGGAGCGAGAGAGTTTGTGACTGTGCAAGCCAGGTAGCCTGATTGCCAGGGTGTCTCTCCGCTGCACTGTGACTTTACTGCAGTGATTTATTTTGTGTTTTTTAGCTGTTGCCAGGTAGCCTGATTGCCAGGGTGTCTCTCTGCTGCACTATGACTTTGCTACAGTGATTAATCTTGTGTTTTTTAGTTTTCTGTGATTTAATTTAAATAAACATTTTATAAAACAAAAGAAACCCTAACGAATCGTCCATATCCTTCTCACATTCTCCTCTCTCTCACACACTCTCACTTGCTTGTTCACACATAATTGCTTTCTCTCTGCTCTTACACTATGGTCACTCTCTGCTCTCACACTCTCCTCACCCTCTGCTCCTAGACTCTCCACAAAGATGGTGTCACAGGGGTGGGATTATATAGTGTGTAGAAGTGTTGCATGCTGGAGGTGCTCCCTGATTGGCTGCACTATCTGTGCAGGGAAAATATCATTTTGTAAAAATGGTATATATACTAAGCTAACACTACTAATAACTAAACCCAGACCACTTATTTAAGATTAAGTGGTCTGGGTGTTGCTTTGGTCCACTATGCAATGTAAGAAAAAAAACAACACAAATACACCCCCAAAACATAACAAAATCAACAGGAACCATAACACCTGATATATCCCCAGATAGCTCTGATCTGAGTGCCCATGTTGGCAAAATAGCATTAGGATCCATGAAGAATTGACAAACCGCCACTGGGGTAAAGTTTTGACTGGCAGCTGACTCTAAGGAAGCAATTGTTTCAAATAGTTCAGGGCACCTTACCTCCAAAAAGCGCTCTTCAAGCTGTTCGGGTAGTGGGGGAAAGTTAAAGACGAGATGGGGTTAGCCACGGCTGGATGGAGTTCTAGAGGAGTTGCTGATTAGTCCCGCTATAGACCTCGTGGCTCTCTGGACTCAGGAAGGGGAGCTTCTGGTTGGTTTTCCAGGAGGGAAAGGTGATGGGAGCCAGAGGCATTGAGAATAGTCTTTTGGGGGAAACATAAAGGAAAACAGCCTGGATAGAGATGTGACTGGGTTATCTGTCACAGCTCTAGTCATGGTTGAGATGTTCTAGTGTGTCTTTTAAGCTATGTCTATTCATGGTAGAGCCTCTAGCACACTGTCTTGCACGTTGTTCTAGGTCAAGGGTAGACAGAATCTTCGACACTCCAGATTTGTAGTCTACACTTCCCTTGATGCTTAACCAGCATTATGGCTGTAAGAGCATTATGGAAGATGTAGTCTATAACATCTGGAGTGCTGAAGGCTCTCTACCCCTATTCTAGGCCATAGTGTTATTTAGTTCTTATGAATTGATGTTGCTTTGGTGATTCATAGATTGGTAAAGGTCTTACGGCACTGCTTGTATTATACGATATAGAAAATCAAAAATTTGTCCACACATTAAGACTGAAAAGGTTTTATTTTGCTATTTACTAGTATTATTATCATATGGGAAACATACAACATTTATCAGAGTTTTATTTAGACATTCCACCTTCACAAATATCTCAAAAGTGAGTGCTTTAATTCTTTCTCGGTCAAAACTGCATCCAAAGAAAATTACATTTTCATGTAGATATCCTTATGAAATTAAACCATGTTGTCTTTACAAAATATCTACACAGATTTTCATTCAGCTTTTCACCTTACGACAATAATAAAAATATCTCCCAATAGAGAAGGGAGCGGCACAAAAGCCATAAGGTTACCATTTTAAACACCATCGAGGGCAGTGGCTGGTGCGTCTCGTACAAAGAGCATCAAATTGATTGAAATACAACTTTATTTAAAATCCAGATTTAAATATATTTCAACACATTGTATCTGAATTGGAAGTGTATGTGTGTGTGTGTGCGTGTGACGGCAGGGTGTTGAGTCAGTATGAATACAATATAATAAGACCTCTTCCTTACATTGAATAGAACTGTGAGACTGGGAAGGAGGGGGAGATAAGTGTAACCAATGTAATCCTGATTTGGCACTGAGCTGTCACCACATCTGCTTTCTTTTCACAGCTAATCACCAGTTCGGCAGCAGCCTGCTCATTGTTACCAGATGTCAATGGTCTGAATGTCGTTAGTACAGTACAGAAAATGACTGTAATAATTACTGAAAGGAATCTTTTTTTTTTTACTTACTGATGTAAATTATACTATATTTAATAGTGAAATGGAAAAATCAATTAAAGTATTGATTATTTCTTTGTGTATCTGCCCCTGGCCAAATCAATGAAACAGTGCGTGCACGCTCCCTGAAGTAATTCACACCAGACACAGGTTCCAGGTTGTTGAATAACTTGAGGAATGTTTATTCAGAGGGGACGGCAAGTCCCTTTTAAAGCAGAATTACATCATATGCATTGTCAGAGATAACATGGAATAATACATCAATGATTGGTTAGGTGTTAAGTGCTTGCTATAATGCTCTGCCTACTGTAGGTGATGTCACCGGGACCATGAGGGTCTCCCACGGTTTCCCGGCGCCATCTTGATGCACGAGGTAGTTAGTCGACGTTAGGAGGGGAAGGGAGGGGGAAGGAGGGATTAGAAGCTTCTAGCAGCCATCTTGATTAAAATATGTGTGCTTAACTTTATACGTGATATATATCGTGAAATGAGTAAATAGACATTTTCTCTATCTAGGAAATATGTGCAGACCTTATTTCCACAACAGTCCCCCCTAAAATGGCTATTTACCATAACAACTGCTGCTGTCCCTAGTATGTCCCTAGTTGCCCGCAACCTATCTGTCTTGACAAGCATCGAACACTTCACTCCGCGGGTATCCCGCAGTGGCTAGCCCACTACATCTCCACACGTGAGACTCACCTGTCAAGACAGACGCTTTCCCTACTCTATCCCTATAGAAAGGCAGTTGTCTGTTGAAACTGATGTGTTTGTAGGGGTGTATGTGGGGTGTCATCTTCGAGGTCCGTGATATCTTGATGTAGGAAGGTAGGGGTCACGTTATCTACAGTCTTATCCACTGCTTTCTGCAGATATTTCTGTATGCAGGGGGAGTATGCAACAGGCTAAAAACAAGAAGATAATGAACACTATAAGAACAGCTGTCCCCACCTGGAAGAGGGTCTTTTGCCAGCCATTCATCCACCCAAACCATTTGTCCCATATGTCAGTGGCTCCCGAATTCTTCTTTAATTCGTCTGCAAGACTATCTAGCTTCTCTATAGCCATAGTCACCTTACCATTGGGCCCAGTGTTGTCTGGAATGTATGTGCAACATGTCATGGTTTCAGGGAGGATTTTACATACCCCCCCTTTCTCAGCTAAAATCATATCTAGGGCCATTCTGTTCTGAAATGTCATTTGGGTTGTGGCTTGTAACTGTTCTGCTAGGCCCTGTAGGGCATCCCTTGTATAATTGACAAAGCGCTGCTGATTATAATAGATATAGTTGATCCAATTGACATTTTTGTTAGCAGTTATCATTGGAATTAGGGATTCAAATCCTGCAGCTACTTCATCTCTTGCTTTGAATTCGTTGGGCACCCCCCTAGGCACACCTATGGCATCAATATATACATGGGGGTCGAAGCTCCCTCGGATAGGAGCCTCTCGTTTGGTTCTAGAGTATATATGTGTAAGATTTAAAGTGTTATGACTACCATCTGGAATAATGTGGATAGGCATTATGACTTTGGTTAGGGCACACTCCCCCCACCATTGCCCAGCTAATTGGGACCTCAATTGTTTGTCACCACATAACCAATAGATATCACCGATTGTCTTTGTGTGATTCATTAGCAGTGATACAGGTGGACTATGGTAAGTTGAGCAGTATCCTGATGGGAATTTGCCCAGATACAAACCAGTGTTCTTAGGTATGGAATAGCATGTGTAATTACCTGGGTAGATGGTGACTCCATCAGGTGGTTTCACATGTCCATGGGTGATTGGGTAAACCTTCTTCCAGGATTCACATGTTGAGGAGTTAGTGATAGATTGTGCATACAAACTCAGTACACATGATTCTATTTCAGGAGGTAAGCTCAGAGGTACTGTGCCCAGATGGGGTCTGGCACCTCCACATACATAACAATTAGTCTTATTGTGTGAGTTAGCGTTGTACCTCATCCATTCTAGCCACAAATTAGTGTCTGAAAACCCTGTTTCTACTGCCATGGTATCTTCAAAGGTGGGGTTAGCTATGGCCACCATGTCATGTAGGGTCTTGATATGTGGTTTCAATGGGTTAATGGCCATATGTGTAGTTCCCACCCAGTCAGAAGAATTTAGCATATCTTGCAGGTAAAAGGTCCCCAATGCGTTATGTGTGCCGCCTCCCTTCCAGTACATTCCCATCACATACTCCCCTGCATCCCTTGGACTAGGGTGTTCTATATTCAAGGTGAGTTTAATGGGAGTTGACCCTATGGGTTTACTCAGGGTCATTCTAGAGAGCAAGGGTTTCCCATCTTTGTCCAGTTTGTCTAATGCCACTTGAGGTCTGTAGCCCCATGGCCTACCTGTGTTCCACCCGGCAGCTTTCCATGAACTACAATGGTGTCCCCAACCTCCTCCAGTCACACAAATGTATGGATCCTTTTTGTTAGGTATATCCTTATATATAGCTGCATGTTGTGTTTGTGGAAATGTACAAGTAACTATGTCACAATAGTCAAAGGTGTATGTAGCCACATCAGTATTAGAGGAATTGTACCAAAAAGTGTAAACATGATTATCTTTGGTTATGGCCACTTGTTGGGCCCAGGCAAGATGTAGCAGCATAAGAAAACACAAGACACATAATAAATTCATTTTTCAACAGGATCAGTCTCTTCTGGAGCAGGCACTTTTTTGCAATGTGAAGCGTGTATCCAAGAACTCTTCCCAGCTAGTTTAACTGACGTTGCTGTAATCAGGAGCACTTGGTAAGGACCATCAAATCTCGGTTCTAGGGTGTGTTTTCTGAGAAACTTCTTAACCATAACCCAGTCACCCGGAAGCAGCTTGTGTGTACCTGTATTCGACTCAGGATCTGGAATAGAAGAAAACACTTGGGCATGTATCTTGGTCAAGGCATGTGAGAGGGCTGTCACATAATCTACCATAGCATCTGACTGGATCTGAAGCTGTTGGGGAAAGTAACAACCTAACCTGGGTGCTGTACCAAACAAAATCTCATAAGGTGACAGGCTGTACTTTCCCCTAGGAGTGTACCTTACACTAAACAATGCTAATGGGAGACTCTCGGGCCAGGGCATGTTAGTCTCTTGTGACATTTTAAGCATTCTGGCTTTCAAAGTGCCATTCATGCGCTCTACCTTGCCACTACTCTGTGGGTGATATGGTGTATGGAATGCAAGGGTCACCCCCAGTGCTGACCAGACTTCCCGTGTTAGCGAGGCAGTAAAGGAGGTTCCCTGGTCACTTTCAATCACTTCTGGAACTCCATAGCGGCAAACAATTTCCGTCAGAAGGTACTTGGCTGTAGTTCTCGCGGTGAGGTTGGTCACTGGGAAGGCCTCTGGCCATCCTGAAAACATGTCCACTATAACCAATGCATATTCATGACGTCCGCTTTTTGGCATCTGAATGTGATCAATCTGAATCCTCTGAAAGGGGTATTGTGGCTTAGCTAGGTGGTTAGGTGCAGTCTTTATAACTTTCCCAGGATTGCATTTAGCACATATAGTACAAGATTTACAGTAATTCTGTGTCAAAGTAGTGATGCCTGGTGCTTCAAAATACTTGTCAATCAGCGAGTTCATCAGGAGTTTTGACAGGTGGGCTGGCCCATGGGCCCATTGGACCACCGCTGGATACATGTTTCTGGGTAGGCAAAACTTGAGATTGATAGTGTAAACATCATCACGGAGTACAGCTCCTTTGTTCTTCCAACTTTGTTTCTCCTGTGGGGTGGCAGCAGCTTGTAGTTCCTTCAGGAGCCTGAGGTCAGTAGGCAATGTTTGCATAGTGTAGATAGGTAATGCATCTGTGGTCACTCTTCTGTCCACTTCCCATCCTTGCCGCGCTGCCTCTTTAGCTGCCTGATCAGCCAAGTGGTTTCCACGTGCTTCTTCTGTATCCAATTTTCCGTGGGCTTTTACTTTCAATACTGCCACTTCTGCTGGAAGTTCCAATGCATCCATTAGTTCTGCAATGGTTGCCCCATGTTTTACTGGAGTACCAGTAGCTGTAAGAAATCCTCTGGTCTTCCAAATTAAACCAAAGTCGTGTGCCACTCCCAGGGCATATCTTGAGTCCGTATAAATGTTGACACGTAGACCTTCAGACAGTTTGCAAGCCACGGTCAGAGCTGTTAACTCTGCTTCTTGGGCAGACTTGGTTGGTTGTAGAGCAGCTGCTTGTAATACTTGACATCCTGTGGTGACTGCATATCCAGTGTGATACTGTCCTTGTTCATCAGCAAATCTTGAGCCATCCACAAATAATGTTTGATCCGGATTAAGTAATGCAGCTTCATAAACAGTTGGTAGGTGTGTAGTTTCCATTTTCATTTGTTCAAAACAGTCATGGGGGATATCAATGAAGTCACAATCCGTGGTAAGTGGGTCCTCACAGGCCTCTGTGTGGTACCTGGGGTACCCTGTTGTGCAGTAATCAATGGTCTTTTTATTGATCCCTGCAGAAGTTAATTGTGTTTGAGTCATTTGGTTCCATGTTCTGGCCATCGGGCCTAGGTCTTTCCATGAGGTGTTGAGGGATCTGGTGAGAGATATGTGTGGAATAGCTGTATCCCAGTGGTGATAGAGGTGTGTTACATTCTCTGGGAGGCAAACTAAGACAAGCATTGTACCTGTAGAGTCCCAGAATAAATCAGTCAGGGAAATTTGAATTTCTTTGAGCTGGAATAGTTCTTCTTCATAGTTCATGTCAGGGCTTGGTACATCCCTAAACCACAATGTGCAGTGGAGTAGGGCCTCTGGTTGTTCATCATGTGGAGGTGTAAGTACAGGCAACTGTAGGTCTGCTTGAACCTCTGGGTTGATATCCAGGCTGTACCAATGATAGACAATTCCCCCCTTGGGAAGTGGCAGAAGAGTGGCAGGATTCAGGGAAAGACATCTCTGAAGTTTAACATTGTCAGGTAGGAGCAAGGAAGTCTGTAGGCGAAGGTGGCGTTGGGAGGAAAGGTGCTTTGGTTGGGTTTGTTGTAGGATGGCAGTAATGTCATGAGGGGCCAACACTGTTAGGTTGAGGCCGAGAACAAAATCATTGGTCTTGTCCAGGAGGGCGCTGGCGGCAAACACCGCTCGGAGGCAAGAGGGGCTACCTCTCGCAACAGGGTCAAGCATGCAGGAGAAATAGCCAATAGGGCGTTGTCTTGACCCATGTTTCTGAGTGAGAACTCCGGAAGCATGTCCTGACTTTTCAGAGACAAACAGATTGAAAGGAAGTTGGTAGTTGGGGAGGCCCAAGGCAGGTGCTGAGGCAATAGCTCTTTTCAGGTTGTGGAAACAGGTGATAGTTTCTTCAGTAAGGTGGAAGGGCTCACTCCTGAGGGTATCATAGAGTGGTTGCATAAGTTTTGATGCTTCTGGGATCCAGGACCTGCAGTATGTTATAAGACCCAAAAAAGCATGGAGAGTCTGATGTGTTGCAGGTAGAGGGAGTTGCAGAATGGCTTGCACACGTTGAGAAGTCAGATGTTTGGTGCCATGGGAAAGGCAGTGTCCCAAGAAGACCACGGATGGCCGGCACCATTGTAGTTTTGATTTTGAAGCTTTGCAACCTGCTGCAGCGAGGAAACACAGGAGGTCTTCTGAGTCACGCTCTGCAGTGAGCAAATCAGGAGCACAGAGAAGTAGATCATCAACATATTGAAGTAGAACAACATCCAGATGAGATTTCTGCCAGGGATCCAAAACAAGAGACAGGGCATGAGCAAACTGTGTGGGAGAGTTCTGAGCACCCTGTGGCATAACAGTCCAGGTATATTGTTGCCCTTCATGTGTGAAAGCAAAAAGAAAACGGCAGGAGGGGTCAAGGGGAACACTGAAAAAGGCATTAGCTAAATCCACCACAGTGAATATAGTAGAAGTTGGTGGGACTTGGGACAAGAGGGTATGCGGATTTGGAACAATAGCAGTGTCCTTTATAGTGACTTCATTGACAGCACGAAGGTCCTGCACCATGCGGTACTGGTCAGGCTGACCTTTAACAGTTCGCTTTTTGACAGGAAAAAGAGGTGTGTTGCATGGAGATGTGCATTTGATGAGGGCACCTTTGGCAAGTAGACTGTCAACTTGTTTGGTGATGGCTTCAGCTTGTGCTGGTTTCAGAGGATACTGTGGTCTTCGGGGGGGTAGTGCCCCAGGCAAGAGCTGAACCAGGACCGGGGGTACATGTAAGCGGCCAACATCATCCGGGCCGGTAGACCAAAGTTCTTGTGGGACCCGATCCAGAGCGCTGGGGGTGTGTGTGACCCGTGCATTCCCTGTGTTGTCAGTTATGTTCAGCAGGATGGGGAGGGAACAGAGGGCAGAGGTATCTTTTTGTGATAGGGGGGTTGTCAACTCGACTTGGCCATCTGCAGTGAAGGTAATGGAAGCCTGAAGGCGAGAGAGAACATCTGCACCTATGAGGTTAATGGGGCAGGTAGAGGAGACAACAAACCGGGAGAGGATGTGTGATCCTACGTGTAGGAGCTTAGTAAGGGGGTTACTGCGTGGTGTACCATCTACCCCAACACAGGAGACATCGGTGTCAGATAAAAAGGAAGGGTCTGCCAGGTCTTGTTCCCTAAGAACACTACGGGCTGCACCTGTGTCGACTAGAAAGGTGGTTGGGTGACCCTCCACGGGGAGAACTACAGTAGCTAAAGGCCCTCCCCCATCCCCCGCAGACACTGCCATGGCAGGGGTTGCTGACACAGGCTTGCCGGTTACCTATTGCAATAAATCTAAATGGGCCTGGTCTGGTCCCTGGTACCGGCGGGAAGTGGAAGGGGGGTTAGCAGAATGCATGGGTGGGCGAGATGGACGGATAGCATGGCGGGGCTGTGGCAGACTGTCTTGGAAATCGTCGTTGCCATACCCTTCACCAGAGGGCGAAGAGTAAGCACGAGCATCTGATGTGGGCGGCCGGGTATGGGTGTACTCAGGAGGCGGGGGGGGTGGAGGAGGGGGAAGTTGGGGCAACTGTGGAAGGGGTAGGGCAGAGAGATAACCAGTGGAAGGGAAGTTATAGCTGGTGGCATGGGGACTAGGGTACCGGGAAGTCTGCTGACGGAACACCCTAGGCTGTGGGCAATCTCTTCTAAAGTGTCCGGGTTGGTTACAATTAAAACAGGTCCTGATAGTTGTGATTGTTCGGTCTCTGGGAAAAGGAAGTGGTGTAGGCAGTGTCTGGGGTGGTTGGTGGTACTGTTGGAGGGGTAACTGAGGTGCTTGGTTAGAACCTGTGATAGGAGTGGAGGTAGTGTACATCAAAGGATTTGCTCTACGTGGTGTGGGTTGCAAAACTGTTTCCAAACCCTTGGCTACCAACAAGAGAGTGTCCAGTGGAATAATTCTATACTCAGGTTGAGCTAGGATTAACCCCTTACGAATATGTTCCTTGAGGCCTACCACAAACGCTGCAGATAGCATCTGAGTGTGTGCTTTGTTATAGGTGCTGAACCCTAAATCTGAAAAAGTCTGAGTCAACCTAGAGTGGTACTTTTCAACTGTCTCAAGTTTATCCTGAAGAATATCATTTATGCAAGTAGCCTGATCAGCTAGTTTATCCTGCGCCCAGGCTCGAAGCTGTTCACAGAAAACTTCACCAGAACGAAAATCAGTATCAGAAGTAAGAGGAGCATCGCTAAAGCTCCGTTCCATGATTGGCCAGTATGCATCACCAGCCTTTATTTCACATAAACTTATAAGATCCCGCCAAGCAGCGGAGTATGTTTTGCGGATCTGAGCCATCCGGCGGAAAAAGGGCATGGGGTGCTTCTCAGGGTCAGGGAGTGAAGTCACAAGGGTAGCAGCTTGGGAAGGGTTAAAGGTAACATACATGGGTGGTGCACCATCCGCACCATGGTTAATCTGGGTATACCCCTGGGGGATGGAGCGCCGTTGTGGTTGTCTGCTCCCCCCTAAGTGGGGTGAGCCCTGGTCCACAACAACGACCTCCTCGGGCACCACCAGACCGCGGTGCGGGGTGGTCTCAGGGGTGGCTGTAATAGGGAGGCCAGCAATGGGAGAGGTAGTTGGGTGGAAGCCTGAGGCCTGGGGGGAGGCACCCATCGCATAGGGCTGGTCCGATGTCACTGACACCTCGGACCCAACCACCATGATTGGGTAACTGGGACTGGCGGGAGGGACATGAGGGACCAATGCTGTGGAGGGGGCTGTCATAGGGGCCGGATGGGGTGGGCGTGAGAGGTGGGTATTCAGGACGTGAGCAAGGGCAGAGATTGGATCGGAAGGCTCGGGGACATTAGCGGAAGACGAGGGAGGGGTCGGGGGTTCAGGGGGAGGAGGAGGAGGAGGAGGCAAATCAGTGGGAGGTGGAGTAGGAATCGCTGAACTAACCAGGGAAGTAACAGCAGAGAAGAGGGCGGAGATCGAACCAGACAGGTCATTGGTCACAGACGGGTCGGGAGCCACCGAGGGAGGAGTTTGGAGGATGGGGGCAGGGGGTTGTGACGTAGGGACGGGGGTGGAGAGTTGAGACAATAACCCAGCCGGATGGGGAGGGGACAACGAGGGTGAGGGGACCAGAACTTCGGGAGGAGGTAACACTGGAGAAGGGGCGGTAACGGGGGGGTTGGGTCAGGGCAGTGAGGGCAGAGATTAAGGACGGCAAATCAGCCGAGGGAGGAGGGGACAACGAGGTAGAGGGGGCCGGGACTTCGGGAGGAGGTATCACTG